GTATGTCTGTGGATGACTATATATATATATATATATATATATATTTGAAGACATGTAGTCTTAAGATGTGCTATATTTATGGGATAAAGTGCTCAATATCAGAGATAGAGCGTGTGTAAATATAAAAGTGAACATAGAAGTCAACACTTAGAGGCGACAGTCTGTTTCATGCTAGATGCAATCGTCAGGCCATTATATATATATATATATATATATATATATATATATATAGAGAGAGAGAGACACACACAAACACACACATATATATATATACACACACATTTATTATTATTATTTTTTAAAAATATGATTCATTCGCAACACAGAAATTACTGTTTCGATACGTGACTAAAGTTATAAAGTTTAATTTTAATTTTAAACTTAAAATTTAGAGCACAGCTTTATTCTTAAGTGATGTTTTAGAATAACTCACTGAAGAAATGCTTTACTCATTTATAGGTTAGAAATGGATTTGTAATCTGTTTTTTTTTTCTTTCGTTATCAAGTGGTCACTACGGTGATGAAAGTATGGACGTTTATTCTATAGTTTTATACGTGTCTGAAATTTATTTAATTTGGTAATAGATTTAATATGGTTTTGTGCAATTTTTTTTATATATGGTATTGTTGAATTTTGTTTTCCATTTATAAATTAGTAATTGTTTAAGACATATATTTGGTGGTGTCTGCAAAATGCCGTTATTTCATTTCTTTGATTTACTAAATTTGTTTTTTTTAGAAACTTGATAATGTGTAGTTTTTCATGTAGGCATAAAGGGCATGGTTCATCCCACGTTCTGCAAGTTCTTGTTCTACTTATTATTTTCCAATTTACTGTTGGTGTTTTATATGTTTCTTTTAAATGCCAAAAATATTTAGATAGGAATGTTTGGTTTCTGTTTTTAATATTATTGAAGGAACTTTGGTGTTGTCTCTACCTCATTTTAAATCATTTCTTGTGGATCCTCTATATATCTTTTCCATATTTGATTCTCATTGGATAAGATTGCGCATTGATATACTACGAAATTTATGCGACATTTTTTATTTAAAGGGCAATTTTGAGGGTTTTTACAATTACATAATTTTTCATTATTATTGTCCGTTTTCATTTTAGGATCTTTATTTGATTTTGTTTATGCGTATTTTTTCAATATTTTATTATTATTTTTCTTTCATAATCCTTTCTAAATTTTCAGTACAGCTGTAACTTAATTTTAGGGTGTGTTTATTAAAAATCTTGTTAAGTTTATTGTTATTAGGAAAATGTTTTTCGATTAAAGCTAGGAATTTTTGTCCTAGCTTATTACTAACCATTTGGTTGAAAATTTATACCAAATGATTTTTCTTTTTTTGTTTTTCTTTTGGCTTGTACTGTTATATTTTATATAATTGATGTTAGGGTGTTTGTAGCCACAATTTTTTAGAGCTTAGTTGTAAAAATTACTATTTTTATAAAATATTTATTCATTTGCAGAATTTCTAATTCTTTTTTTAATTGATGAAGGTATGTGCTTAATTATAGAGGAAGGATGATTTAACCTGAGGTGTACATACAAAGAGCTAGTATTAGGTTTTCTGTAAGGTAGGTATATGTTATTCATTAAGTCTAATGTTATGTCGAGGAAATTTACCCTTTTCAATTTTGTGTTAACCATAATTTTTAAATTTAAGTTTCTGAATTCTCTATGTATTATTTTTCTAATTTTATCTATTTTAAAGTTAGATCTCCCGACTACCATAAAGCCATCATCTCTGTATAGTATGATATCTTTAATATCTATTTCACGGTGCGCGGTTAGGTTATACAATATAAATAAACCCACAAGGACAGAAAAATCGCTGAGTCTAATGATCCCATTGTGATGTCAAAATGGTCTCGGATTTTTTAATCCATTGGTCACCATTATGAATGAGGACATATTTTTCTTTTGCGCTGAGTATTAGTTTTTTTCTTCTGTTGGGTTTGAATATATAGTTGCAAACTCCAGGGCAGTCGTGAATAGATCTCTTGATATTGATTGATAGTAATCCTCAATGTCAAACTGTATTAGGATACAATTTGGCTTGTCGTTGATGCTGGTAAACCATTTGGTGACCTCTTTGGTATTAATCCAAATGGTTATATATATATATATATATATATATATATATATATATATATATATATATATATATACACAGATATACATGTATGTGTATATATGAATTTAAATATCTCAATATGGTATCAACATCTGACTGAATACCTTAGCCCTACATTGGTCTAGTATTGCGAGAGATATTTGGAGTTCAACCAGAGTAGTTTCCCTTCAACTGGTTTGAGAATTACCTGGATTTCAAATAAGGAACAAAAGATAGAAATATCTATATAATAAATATAGATCTCTTTTCGTCTATTTCAGTTTTTTCTGTTTATCTATATAATTAGTCTTTTTCTCATTTCACCTCATGCAAGGCAATAAATTCTCTTGAATGAAAGGTGATATTATGTGTTAAGTAATATGAGAGAAAAAAAAAACTACTATTAAGGGGAGAGAACAATGAACAAATAAACATGAATTAAAAAAAAGACAGAAGACACCGGCTGACATTGCATTAGCGAAAAATTCATCACGACTATGACTATGATAGAAAAGACACAGGAAACTACGTTATATTGGTGGCAAAGGGACTGAAGTCGAGTGCCATGTCAGGACCAACAACATTGCAAATTCTTCTTTGGATTTTATCAAGAATTTCTAAATATATACAGGAGCACCAGACCAGATGTGGCAAGGACAAATGGTAGACTTATAAATATACAAGATAGATTCTATATCAGTATCTAGCGCGACGTCGTAAATCATCTTCCTTAACTGCAGACTTAGCAGTTTAATCAACATACTATTTCCAGTTCATGTCAGCTGAAACTCTTAGTCCGAAAAGGTACAGCAATTCACTTTGATGGAAGGCAGTAAGGGTTCTCGAAGACGATTAAAAGTGTGGTTTTCGTGGTGTTAAATTTAACAAGTCAATCCTTATCTCATTTAACAACACACTGTATGTCATTTCCAAGATCACTTGCCAATTTTACCCTATTGACGCGTTCAGATTTACTATTAAAACAAGAGTAAATAGTTGTGTCATCAGCAGGGATCCAGAGTTGAGAAGAGATGACGCCACGATGGTAACGTAGATCCAAGGATATATCACTGAGAAATACCTGCATCTGTCTACCTACATTGTCCGGTTCGCCTCCACGCCTGTCTACCTACATTGTCCGGTTCGCCTCCACGCCTGTCTACCTACATTGTCCGGTTCGCCTCCACGCCTGTCTACCTACATTGTCCGGTTCGCCTCCACATCTACCGATCTTATGCTCATCTCCCTATCTACCTCTATATCTATTTTCATGTCCCCCTAATGTAACTGGCCGTATGGGTGTATGTACGCACGTATATCCTGTTTTCTTAAAGTACAATTCCAGCTTAACTGTTGTCAGCCTTGTCAACAGATACCGAATATTTGAATAAAATACAAGCTAATATGATTGTTTAGTTTAACATTAAAGTTTTCTTATACTTTTTTTTTGTTCTTATGTGTGTGTATGTGTGTATGTTAATGATCGTTTTCGGCGTCCAACTAAATCTGCGAAGCATTTTTCTACATTTTAGTATACAGACTAAAAACAGATATGTTGCATATCTAAGAAGAAATTAATAAAAAATGAATCAATAAATTTGACATTGGGTAACTTTAACCAATACAGCTGCTTTTTCTCGTAAACATGCCGGCGTTTTGCAGGAATTTAGTAAAAGCAAACAAAAATACAAAAACGTAATCATTCTTAAAATTTCTTTTTTTTTTGGTGGGGTCATTTTCAAATCTGCGACAATTTTCATATCTCTTTTCACAAAAATGCACCTGCTGGTATTAAATTACACCAGTAAGAGTGAGACATTTCTCTTCAAGTATATCTATATACAGATCTATGAAATAGTAAGAACGTTTGTATATTAAAAGAAGATAGCGAAATATATACGTATATATTTTCCTTATTTATCCAATATTCATGAATTAACATGAGGTTTGGTTTTAATGTTGCAAGATGAACAATAAGAATGAAAAAATAGGACTAATATTCCTTGATATCAAAGTTCAGAAAATAGGAAAAGATTTTCCCCTAAATCTAGTATTTTAAGTAGAAACAAATGATCGTATTAATCTGTTGTCTAAATGGCTAATTGCAAACAAATAGGAAACAATTTTAGACTATTTTGTTTTTCGATCAGCAGTTTTTGGCTTAAAACATTGCGCTGAAATTACATGCATATCGTAAAAATATTAAGTGTGTGTGTGTGTGTGTGATCTTGGTTTAGCTGAAAGCATCGCAGGTTCTCATTGAGTTCTCGTTAGTGATTGCCTAACTAAAAAGGCGAGAAAATAGTTGGCGTCCTCAGGGTCAAATTGTAATAAGCAGACGATTAAAAGGTGGCGAAAAGCAAGCAAAACAGAAAAAAAAGGAAAAAAGTGAAAGAAATCAACGAAGAATTAACCTAAACGCACACATACAAAAAATTTACTTTCATCTAGGCCAGCAAGTGCACACCTAATCAGTACCACACACACTCACACAGTGTTTTATATATATATATATATATATATATATATATGTGTGTGTGTGTTTGTGTATATGTGTGTGCATGTGTGTCGTGTATTTGTATAATACCCTCTTTTGCTAATGCGCTTAATCCGAAGTTTGTCCATTAATCAGGGTGAAAATCCCAATCGAAATTAAGCTAATTACTACGGGTTAGGCTAGATATTTATTGATGCCATCTCACACACATATCTAAGTTTTTATGTTTAAATCTCTCCATCTATCATTTCATTCTCACTATTGATATTTCTTGAAAGTCTTCAACTACGAAGAATATAAATAAAAAGAGAAAAGGTGAACATCATTTCATGATCGATTACGTTCATGACGTTGTCTTTGTTCCAAAGGTCTGTGATACATAGCAGGATATGAAAGAGGGAGAAAGGAAGTGAGAAAGCAGACGAAGGAGAAAGAAAAAAGAAAGGAAGACAAGAGAGAGAGAGAGAGAGAGAGAGAGAGGGGGGATAGAGAGAAGACAAGAGAGAGAGAGAGAGAGGGGGATAGAGAGAAGACAAGAGAGAGAGAGAGAGAGAGAAGACAAGATAGATAGATAGATAGATAGATAGATAGATAGATAGATAGATAGATAGATAGAGAGAAGACAAGAGAGATAGATAGAGTGAAGACAAGCGAGAGAGGGAGAGAGAGAAGACAAGAGAGAAGAAGAGAGAGAAGAAGAAAAAGAGAAAGAGAGAAGACAAAAGAGAGAGTGGGAGAAGACAAAAGAAAGAGAGAGGGAGAAGACAAAAGAGAGAGAGGGAGAAGACAGAGAGAGAGAGGGAGAAGACAAGAGGGAGAAATCGAGAAGACAAGAGAAAGAAAGAGAGAGAAGACAAGAGAAAGAGAGAGAGAGAAGACAAGAGAAAGAGAAAGAAGACAAGAGAAAGAGAAAGAAGACAAGAGAAAGAAAGAGAGAGAAGACAAGAGAAAGAGAGAGAGAGAAGACAAGAGAAAGAAAGAGAGAGAAGACAAGAGAAAGAGAGAGAGAGAAGACAAGAGAAAGAGAGAGAGAGAGAAGACAAGAGAAAGAGAGAGAGAAGACAAGAGAAAGAGAGAGAGAAGACAAGAGAAAGAGAAAGAAAGAGAGAGAAGACAAGAGAGAGAGAAGACAAGAGAAAGAAAGAGAGAGAAGACAAGAGAAAGAGAGAGAGAGAGAAGACAAGAGAAAGAAAGAGAGAGAAGACAAGAGAAAGAAAGAGAGAGAAGACAAGAGAAAGAAAGAGAGAGAAGACAAGAGAAAGAGAGAGAGAAGAAAGAAAGAGAGAGAGAAGACAAGAGAAAGAGAAAGAAAGAAGACAAGAGAAAGAGAGAGAGAGACAAGAGAAAGAAAGAGAGAGAAGACAAGAGAAAGAGAGAGAGAGAAGACAAGAGAAAGAGAGAGAGAGAAGACAAGAGAAAGAGAGAGAGAAAGAGAGAAAGAGAGAGAAGACAAGAGAAAGAGAGAGAGAGAAGACAAGAGAAAGAGAGAGAGAAGACAAGAAAGAGAGAGAGAGAAGACAAGAGAAAGAGAGAGAGAAGACAAGAGAAAGAAAGAAAGAGAGAAAGACAAGAAAGAGAGAGAGAGAGAGAAGAGAAAGAGAGAGAGAGAAGACAAGAGAAAGAGAGAGAGAAGACAAGAGAAAGAGAGAGAGAGAGAAGACAAGAGAAAGAGAAAGAGAGAGAAGACAAGAGAAAGAGAGAGAGAAGACAAGAGAAAGAGAAAGAAAGAGAGAGAAGACAAGAGAAAAAAAGAAACAAGAGAGAGAGACAAGAGAAAGAGAGAGAGAGAAGACAAGAGAAAGAAAAGAGAGAAGACAAGAGAAAGAAAGAGAGAGAAGACAAGAGAAAGAGAGAGAGAGAAGACAAGAGAAAGAGAAAGAAAGAGAGAGAAGACAAGAGAAAGAGAGAGAAGACAAGAGAAAGAGAGAGAGAGAGAGAGAGAGAAGACAAGAGACAATAAAGAATAAATGAAAAAGAAAAGTGCTAAAAGGCAAAAATGAAACAGACAAACACAAAATGACAAAAAAAAGGAACGAAAACAAAATTAGAAAAGAAAAGTCAATATTATTTTTAATAAACTGCTTCAAATTAATGAATCATTAAAGAGAGAAAAGAAAGAAAAAAAAAAAAAAAAAAAACGAACACAACAAAACAACGACCGGAAGTTAAACAGGCAATAGGATATTGGCGGTCGTATTAGTCGAATTGACGATTGACTTTCTCACTGACTAAGTCAACAGTTCAAGCGCTGTAGATGAATAATTTGGACGAAAACCAACAATAACTGCTCCCTTTGCACGCTACTGCCATTTCCATTGTCAGTTCAGCGCAGGAAAACTTTCTGAAAGGGCGGGAAAAAAAAAACCCAAAAAACTGGACGGTTGAAAAGCTTCGTTGTCAGACTAATTGTCGCCAGAAGCAGTTCGACTCTCTTCTTAAGTCATTGTTCCATATTTTTACTGTCTGTACACCCCCCACCCCCCAAAAAAGAAACAAACAAAAAATAAGAAAATAAAACCAATTGTGATACAATTAGAATCCGGGGTTAGTTAAGACATGACGTTTCTGGAGGAGCATGGGATGCGTGGCTATCCGTCTAATTACAATTGACGGGAGGATTGGTAGACTGGAGAGATATGAGGTTTGTGTGTGTAGACGAGGCTTTAGACGCTCTTTTTCCTGCAACTCTCCGACCACGCAGGAGATCGAAGAAGGCGATGCTGTTTTAAATTTCAGTGGCTATCCGACAGAAATCACCGTGTTATATACTTCAATAATTTAAGACTAAGACACACCTATATTTAATATTCACAACTAGTGACGTTGCTACAATGTTTCTGCAACGTTACACAGAGGTTGCCAAAATATCTTCTTTTCTTTTTTTGTACACAGCTCACACCGTTACCTTCACGATCACGAATCCCGTGACACTTTAGGGTCGTAGAGATACGACATATACCAGAACATTCTGGTGTTTCATGGGTAAGACAGCTTAACGACGCTCAGCCCTATCCAGGTTGGTTTGAATTCAGAGATTTTTTTTTCTTTTAGACTGGTTGATAACCAAGGCTACAGGGCCAATCTATCCCGATATTTTTGCCCATAGCTGGACGAGAAGAGATAGATTCATACAGGTATTAGCACGTAAGTGAATGTAATGAACTCGACCAGAATTCGAACTCTACTCTTCGATTCATCAATCTGAGCTGCTATCCCTTACTTTACCGTACCTCACAATGTCGGATGAATAAATGTAAAATCCATTCCTACATATATATTTTGGACCCTCCCATCATTTTCAACGTATGAGGGTCAAGCAGCTCAGTTGTTAAAACTGAACAGCCATACTAGCTGCACGTATCATTTGATTATAGTAATGAAGGCTTGTGCAAAGGAGATGAATTCAGAGATCTGGTGCACCGTGTGCCACAAGGTCCCCAAACGACCCTCCACAGGTTTTGAATTCAGAGTTGTCCTTCTCCGAGACTGTTCGCCACCCAAGACTATAAGAAACGGTGTGTCCTGCAATTTATTTATATCTGGGGTGAGAAGAGATGGATTCATACCTTTCCTAAGGTTATCAGCACGTAAGTGAATGTAATGAACTTGACTAGAATTCGAACTGCTCTCAGTTTCTTTCATCTGAGACGCTATCTATTAGTGTCTAAAAAAAACAAAAAAACAAATAAATAAATAAAAAGTTAATAAATTCCAGAAAGATCAATCATTAACTAAATTAATAATTCTCAATTAAAAATACTAAATTTTTTATGCCTTCCATACATGTGACGTGGGGAAAATGTATCCTGATATTATTTGACCGGTGTGGAATTTTTCAGTAACGGAATTTTCAACGTTACCGTAATATTGTGACAATGTTGAGGATGAGCGGTCAGAAAGATAGTGTGTTGCATCGTCGCCACAATATATCGCCTATATTCGCTAACCATAATACAACACGTTTGCAACATTAAGTATTAGTTGTGTATATCAATTATATAGGTACATATTTTTTTAAAAATCGTTTCTCTCCAAGCAAGGCGACAAAGCCACTATGACGCAAGGGGGTTACTGAGAGAGAAAGAGACTGAGAAAATGTTATTAAGGAGAAAGGACAATTAAAAACAAGAAACAGCTTTCAGAACAGACAGTAGACGACGATTGACATTGTATTGAAAATCGATCGCAGATTAAAAGGAAAACAAGAAACCGGAAGTGAGTTCCATAGGCGGTAAGTGCGAGAGAAGAAACTGTTAGCAGAGAACTTACGGTTACATCCAGCAATTACAACGATAAAATGATGAGACCGATCTGCCAATCTAGTACTGCGCTTTAAATTCGTGAAGTCGAGGTACCAAAAAAAAAAAAAAAAGAAGCTCACCGGAACAGTTAACATAAAACTATTCATAGAAAAAGATACGTAGAAGCTACATTATGGCGGCGGAAAATCGATTGAAGCCGAGATGCCATAAGATGACCGATAATATCGCATACTATTTGGATTTTGTCAAGAATTTCTAGATACATAACATAAGCTTAAATGTTTCGATATAATCATTTCATTTTATGTCGGTGGAAAACGTTAGACCGAAAAAGCATAATGTGTTATTCTTCTAGAAGTTATCATCCAAGCTAAGGAAAGACAAAAAGGTTCTCTTTCATGAGTAAAAGAGAGCAGATTCCTGTTGGAGACGTTAAAATTAACAAGCCAGTCATTGCCCCAGTTAGCAACAGATTGAATGTCATTATTTTTTTTAGATTAACTGTAAATTTAACCTTATCGAACATGCCAGACTTATCATTTAGACAAGAGTTATGTCATCAGCACAGTGACATACAGAGGTTTGGTGATTTCCGGGGCCAACTCTTTGATTATATATGTCCCTAAAACTCAAGTAGGTGTCCTATAGGGTTTAGGACTGAGAAATGTGAGAAAGGAAGACATTTTAAATATCTAAAAACAGAGGAAACATGAAATAAACATTTTATTCAGACTAAATTTTTATTTCACTCTTTGATTGGACGTCCTCAGGACCGGGGCAGTTGCAATCTCTTTGCCCCACTTTTGCACGCTACTGCATCAGCATAGATGCAAATTCGAAAATTGATAACATCGGTTAAGTCGATGATGAAAAGTAAGAACAAATTAAGTTCAAAAATAGAGATCAGAGGGACACCCAAATTAATGCAAAAAAGATTTAGAAGAGTGGCCGTTCGAGACAACTTTCTTTACTCGATTTGCTAAAGATTGACTCAAATTAAAAATTCGGCCAGTTACACTATGACCATTCAACTTAGGACCAGCATACCAAACACTGTCAAACTCTTTTGACATATCTAAATCAACATTCCTGCCTCGAGCTTAAGAGACTCATTTAACTATAATCATCGGCAGATGACCTAGTGAAGTCAAAGCTTCAATGCCAGCTTTTATCCAAGAAGAAACCTCAGTGGTACAATTTTCAATAGGAAAAAGGGAGTTGCGAAAAAAATCGTGAAATGAATCCTAGTCGGTCTGTTGGCAACAGAAAAAGTCTGTTGAATTGAGGTTTTATATCTAATCATCAAGTCGAAAGAAATATTGACAGAGGCACAGCTAAGAGGGCAGAATTGTGATGCTCGACAAAAGCAAGGAGAGGAGGCAGGAAACAAATCGAGTAAAAGATCAGAAATCTATTAGTTAACTGAGAGATTGAGCAAGTCAAAAATCGAAAGTCAGAATACCAGCAACACTAGTACAATAATTAAGCCACTTGACATGATAAGCAGTAAAAAAAAAAAAAAAAAAAAAAAAAAAAAAAAAAGTGTGGTGCGTGCATGTATAATAAGTAGCTTGCTTGTGCTTTTTCTGTAATAGTTTTATAGTAATTGTTCTATACTAATTGTTCTGATGAACTTTCCGTTATGGTACCTAGACGTTATGAATAGTTAGTGGCAAATTCTCATCATTTAAAGTTGAAATGACTAGATGTAACCGTAAGTTACATGCTAACAGTAACTCCTTGCATCCAAGTAGCTTTATTGCCTTGCTTGGGGTGAAATGATTAATATAAGTGTGAATGTCAGTGTGTCACGCATTTTCAATTACGGGGACGCAACTCTCTAACTTTCAATAGCTCATCATCTTCTATATAATAAATGCGAATAACAGTGTGTCATTGTGTCACATATTTCAACTTTATTCCTAGAGGCCGTAGCCTAACATATACCATTTTGGAATCAGGCCGACTCCATGAGTAAATTAAAAACATTCCGGGTCGGATAACGAACCCGCAATCGTGCAATTTTAGATTAACAAGTTTTCATTACTGCGATTGTTTTCGGCGATTTTTGTACGAGTTTTTTTTTTTTTGCGACGAATTTTTTTGTACGATAACAATTTTTATAACTTGAAAATAAATTTGGGAATAATCGAAATTCATTGCAAAATCCAGCGAAAGTCACTTACTCATGAAATAAAAATAATTGTTTCTACGGAAAGTAAGGACCTACGTACATCAAATTGTCTTTAAATTAAGTGACGACAGAAGAAGTATCGTTGAACTTTTAAAAGTTAAACTTTAATATTAATGCAACACTTAAATGCATCGATCAATTTTGAGTTCCTCTGCAGTTTATTGTTGCCTATCGCATTTTCCCTCCTACCTATTGTGACAAAGGCCCAATCAAATATCCCTCTGCAGGAGCTAGCTTAAATGCCACCCGATAGGGTAGCTTTTAAGCTAATATATATATATATATATATATATATATATATATATATATATATATATATAAAATTATAATAATTATATTATAATTATAATAATTATATTATATATATTTAATTATAATAAATTATATTTGCTCTACTCTGTATTGAACACTTTTTAAGAATAGCGTTTGTTGGTTATTGTAATTTATTCCGTATACACCAATCCTGTGTGTGTGTGTGTAAGTGAACATAGAAGTCAACACTTAGAGGCGACAGACTGTTTCATGCATGAAACACTCTAAGTGTTGACTTCTGTTCACTTGTATATTTACAGACGGTCTATCTCTGATATTGAGCACTTTATCCCATAAATATAGCACACTTTATGATATATATATATATATATATATATATATATATATATATATATATACACAGTGGGGGAAAATAAATATTCGTACACTTGAAAAATTGTATTTTTATAAATGTAAAAGCCTTAAATAAAACACATCTCGGCACATTTTATCTATAAAGACACATACTATTAAAAAATAAACTTAATTAATTCTTATTCTAACAGAAATTAATACATTTTTTAAAATTCTAACTGGTGAAAAAAGTA